AGGTTGTCATGTAAAATGTGTCCTTTAAAAGACTGCATTCAAATTTATTATTTTTAATGTTGAAATTATTTTAAGGAACCCTCATGCACTGTTGGCAGGGATGTAAATGGGGTGCAGTCACTGTGGAAACCAGAATGGAGGTTTCTCAAAAATTCTCAAGAATTACCATATGATCCAGTAATTCCACTACTGGGTATGTACCCAAAGACAATGAAAACACGAACTCAAAAAGATATATGCATCTTTATGTTTACTCCAGAATGGGATTGGATTTATCAGAATTAACCAGACAAATCGCTCCACCAACTAACGCCACTTGTCCCTCTAAGAAGTTGGGGGACGCCGACCGCTCGGGGGTCGCGTAACTAGTTAGCATGCCAGAGTCTCGTTCGTTATCGGAATTAACCAGACAAATCGCTCCACCAACTAACGCCACTTGTCCCTCTAAGAAGTTGGGATGGGATTGGATTTAGATGGATGAGGAGAGATACTAGTATAGGAAATGGGCCCACATAGGCTAATTGTTGATATAAGGTTCCATTTGGAAGGTCATCCACCAATGTCCACGACGAGTTGCCAAGTATGGTGAGTTGGATTGAAGTAGTAAAAAGAGTTCAGATACTAGAACCAGAGTACATAGGCTTAACTCTCAGCTCAAGATTTGTAAGCTAGTATGAGTTGAGTAAGCTGCCTAATCTCTCAATTTCATCCTCTGTAAAATCAGGATAAATATAGTACTTATTTCTAGAGTCATTAAATGAGATAAAACATGTAGAACTGGGGCGCTTGGGTGGCTCAGTCGGTTAAGCATCTGACTTTTGATTTTGCCTCAGATCATGATCTCACTGTGAGTTTGAGCCCCATGTCAGGCTCTGTGCTGACTGTGGGCACAGAGCCTGCTTGAGATTCTGTCTCTCCCGCTCTCTCCCCACCCCCACGCTCTCACTGCCTCGTTCTGAAAATAAACAAACTAAAAAAAAACATTTAGAACACTTAGTCTAGTGGCTCTGCACATAGTAAGTGGTTGGTAACACTAATTAGCCACAATTATGGGAATACTGAGGACTAAAAGGAACACCAATGGCCAGCAGAAAGGGCTGGTCAGTTGGACAATGTCACTCTGATCTTGTGTTATTTCCACTCAGGCATAGTGTCAGATAATTACAGGACATATTTTCAAAAATGCTTTCACTTAGGAGAACAATAAGACACACTGAGATTGACTTTCCTAGAGCCATTCAGCTGGCGAGCAACAGAGACTGGCCTCAGAGAGGCTTTGAGACTCCAGATCTATTGCATTCTTCCACATTTCATTCCTGACAGCTGAATTTCTACAGCTGGCATCACCAACACAACCCTCCAATCTCTGTGTATCCATTTGTTCAACAAGACTTTCCTGACCCACGAATGTGTGGGGTGCTCTGCGCTAGGTTCTAAGGATCAAACCAGACATGGTCCCTACATTTATGGAGCAAAAAGGCTAAAAGGGAGGGAAGTTTTTTTTTTTTTTTTTAGGTTATTTGTTTACATTTGTTTTTTTTTTACAAATAGTTTATTGTCAAATTAGTTTCCACATGACACTCAGTGCTCGTCCCCACAAGTGCCCTCCTCCATGCCCATCCCCCCCTCCCCCCCACATCCATCTGTCCTCAGTTTTTGTCAGCATTCAAGAGTCTCTCAAGGGAGGGAAGATTTTAACCAAACTACATAAATGAGGCAGAAGTAAAATTGCAACTAGCAAGTGAAGTCTACAGAGATAAGGACTGTAGTCATGGTGCAGCCCTGCGTCTTCATCACCGAGAACAGTACCTGACTTGTGGCAGGTACTGGCAAGTACTCACTGGATGACTGCTAGGGAGAGCATTGTGGTGAAAGCTACCTTCTAAAGCATTGTAAGAGAAGAGTGTGCAACGGAGCACTGACCTACTCAGAGGTCAGAGAAGGCTTCCCTCAGGAAGGGATGCTGGGATGTGAGTGGGTACTAACCAGGTGAAGCAGGCTGGGAGGATCCCGGGGATTGGTGGTACTATAGTAAAGGGCGCAAAAGACTTTGGAAGAAAGGAACATACCGTCCAGTTGAGCAACGATCTTGGCAGTCATACTAAGGGAAGCAGTGTGTTTCACAAAGCGTTGGCAAATACTGATAGTAACACCTACCGATTACTGTGGGGTGCCTTGCCTTTATACAACAGTTTCATACTGTTATGCTTCTGCAATGAACATTGTCCTATTGACAATTCACAATGACAGTCAGCAGGCTAGGAAATATCATCCCAGTTTTAGCTTAGTAAACTGAGGCCTGTAGATTTTCTGTGCTATCAAAGTATCTAAACTTTGATATCTAAGTATCAACGCATCTAAACATAGCATCTGTGAGACTCTCTGTCTAGAGACGTTATACAGTCCTCCTGCCAGCCTTCTAAAGGAAGGGACTGATAGTACATGTGAGGAAAGTGAGCTCAGCAAGATTAAGTAGCTGGCAAGTGGCCAGCCAAATTGGGAGATAAAGCTATGTCTTCTCTATGGAATGCATTGTATCTCCCTACTTTCATATGTTGAAGACCTAACCCCCTAAGGTGTATTTGGAGATGGGGCCTATAAGGAAGTAATTAAGGCTAAATGAGGTTATAATGGTAGAACCCTAATTCAATAGCATTAGTGTCCTAGTAAGAAGGCATACAAGATAGCCCTGTCTCCCTCACCTTCTCCGTTGCCATCTCTGTCTGTATCTCTCCACACACCACACACACACAGAAGAAAGGACATGTGAGAACAAAGTGGTCGTCTACAAGCCAGAAAGAGAGCCCTCATCAAAACCAGATGGTAGGTCTTCCCGGCTTGATGATGGGTTCCTGGCCTCCAGAACTGTGAGGAAATACATTTCTATTGCTTATTATATTTTTTTATGGCAGCCCTGGCAGGCTGATACAGTCTTCGTATACATTGCTGTTGTTATCTTCCATGACACACCTCTTTCATTAGTGGTCTAGAGGTGCAAGAATGTAGATGATCTGGCTGTCAGTCCTAGGTTCCCTCTCTTGATCATATTCATTACCCCTAATGACCCAACTGAGGAGGTGATGGCAGGCTGAGGGGCAGAGCATCACACCCTTCCCACCATTTCCCCTCAGTTTAATCAGGACCAAGACACGGACATTCATAGACATCAAGGTGTGGGCAGCACTGGTGCCCTGTAATTGGCCTAGATGCAGAGTTATAAAAAGTGACAGTGACAGAGCTGATTCCAGGACTGAAAAATTTAAATGTCACCGCTTTCTATATGATTGAGATTGAGCATAGGGAAGTAGGACTGTGAGGCTACTGCCTTTGGAAGCACAGGCGAGCACATGCTGCTGTGTTGTCATGAGTGTGTGAGTGTGTGCATGCATTCATTGCACGCCGTTTACCTAGGATCTGATAGAGCTTCATATCCTGGGTTTCATCCAGTACCTACTCACTGGTACATGTACTTCAGTGTTAATTAACTTCATTGGTTTTCCTTTTACTTATCTTTAAAATGGACTTAGTAACCTATTTTGCACAGTACTAGCTAACATAATGCATAGAAACGGGTAAATATTTGGTAAATGGTAGATATTATTACAATTATTATGAATAATGTCCCCAAGTATTTCTATTTTAAAATGAAGTTTATAGAATTAACTGATTTTCTCCTTTTGCCTTGATCTAAAAGAATAATATATTCATACCAGGGTGACTTCCCCATGGAGACAATCATTTGGTAATCCATTTAGTATCTGAGCTGGGTTCTTCTTGGTGCTGCTATGTGCAGAAATAGCAGAATATTCATTTATTTTACAGGATACCAAGTTAAAGCATATTGATTTGGGGGGAAACTTCTTCCCCCAAAATGTATAACAATGTGTGTATGTGAAAGCCATCATATTCTACATGCTTGTTACCTAAATTGTGCAAACCAAACCCCCTGAAGTCTATCTATGAAGGGTAAATAAGTCAGTGAGGTGAAGCAGGCAAGCCTATCTTTGAAGTAGGCTTAAATTCAAAAGCATAGGCATTCAAGCAGGCAGAGGAAGGAAGGAACATGCTGTACCCACCTGCCACTGCTGATGAGGGGCTTATTTCTAAGACACACACAGCACAATGCACACACAATGCAGAGAGAAAACAAAAGACATAGATCACACATTTCAGATGGTTGGTGGACAAAGTTTAGTTAATGTTAGTGCTGAAAGCTTGCTCAGGGTCTGAGGTACACATAGAAAGATGAATACCTTTTCATCCCGCTCACCTCTAACCAAATCTCAGCAAATAAACAAATACATACACACATGAAATATCACAACAAGCTGGCTCTGGCCAATAGTGTGAAATGCTGCACACAGAGATGGACACAACAACATAGGAAGGCTGGGTGAGGGAGAGGTGAGGGCTTCCCAGGGAGCCAGTCAGGGCTCTGGAAACCTCTCCATCCATATGGGAGGAAAAGACCTTCAGGGAAGGGTTTGATGTTCCAGCTGTGGATAGAACAGTCATCTTGATGAAGACTCAGACTACTGTTCCATCCACTCCAGTGAGTGAGAACATGACATGGCAATTGACATGAGAATCATGATGGCAGTAGTTGGCTTGGTTCAAATCTATAAATATAACCCCCAGAATTATAGACTCTTACTATAGAAGGTATCTTAAAATTATATCTAACATATCCCCTCAGACCTTTAAATACTACAATCTAACTGTTCCCTGGTTCTATGTTCTTTATGGCAACCACCATTCAACTTGGTTCAGAATTTGGTTTACTCCTTTTGTAAGGTGCAAACCTCACCTTTAAATAGACCAGAAAATATCAATTACCTTGCAAACATCACTGTATCACATGCTTAGGAGAATGACAGGGAGAAGCATTTCATATCTAAGGGTGGTGGGTTGAGCCGTATGGATGGACATAGGCCAAGCAAATCCAGCCTTCCTCTCTCTACATGCCCCAAGCCCACTGCACCCAGGCTTTCTGCACTCACCATACAGTGTGATGCTGGCATTGGTGTTCCCAAGCTTGTTTGTGGCCACACAAGTATAGTTCCCATAATCCTTTTCTGAAACATTGAAGAACGTCAGAGTGGATATGCGGCCTTTGTTCTCAATCCTCACGCCACCCAGGCCGGTGGCTAGCCTGCAATAAGAGAAGGTATTGCTGATCCGGTTCTACAGACAGAGTGAAACAATGGACAGAGAAGCTGGGGAAAGTGACAGATACCAGAGATGAATCCTACAAAGAGGCTTCCCTTCTCACGGACAACTTTCTTGTAACTGATCCAATCCCTCTAACTCAAAACATAAGTACCACAGCTTCCACAGGAGGGAAAAGGAAAGGATGTTCATGCTCTAAAGGTGAAATTTACTGGCTCCTAGTCATTGATGGCTGCCATGTCTACAATTAATCTTGGGTTCTGAAACGAGGTTAATTCATGTTCCCACTTTCCAGCTTCCTCTATTTTTTTGTTCTTGGTTCTGAAAGGAGACACCGTTATAAAGGGGACTAATGCATTTTGATTTTGCCATATCTTTCCCCTTTACTTTATCATTCTCTTTCCATGTGGGGAATGATCCATCGGCTCTGCTTCAGATATGCCCTATTTCCATTTTCAGGGTACCTGGTATCTTCCTTGAACCACTGGAACTCAGCCATAGGCACTGCAGAGGCTTCACAGCTCAAGATACCCTTCTGACCAACGGAGACACCAGTGTTCTTGGCTTTTGAGATATAGGGAGGATCTGTTGGAGGAAAAGGCAGAATGTGTTTATGAAGCAGATGAAGAGCACATCTAGTCCCCTATTGTACAAATGGATTTCTTGTGACACCCCACCTTCCCAGTTAAATAACCTTTTATTTTAGGAAAAGAATTCTTGCTTAAAGATATTGCATTTACCCCAGCATCTTCTTAAGCCTTCAAACCAATTAAAAGTTACCAATTCTCCCCATTAACTAGAAGTTCTGACAGGCACAGGTAGACTCTGGGGCAAAATGGCAATGGGGACAGTCATGGTGCAAAGCAATCTGAGAAAGTATTTTCCTATTGGAAACAATTTGGAACTATCAGAAAATGGCACTGCCATGACCAGCTTGTTCTCTTAATCCCTATATTATCTTTTCCCCTGAAACTTCCTGACAATGGGTCAACTCACAGTTTACAGTGATTTTTACTTTCCGCACATCAGGTGCAGCAACATCATTCAGGGCGCTGCATTCATACTCCCCAGACTGGTCACGTTTGATGTCAGAGATTTCCAGATATTCATCCTCACTCACAAAGCCCTGGCCTTCTGGGAGGAAAGAGACAGAAACAATGAAGAATCTGTGAAACCAGGGAAAGAACTATATTCACATCTTGAGCTTGTAGGGAAGGAGTACAAAAAGCCATAATAATGGGGTTTGAACGTCAAGTTGAAGATTATAAGACACCATGTTGACCAAATAGTATGTCATTTGAAGAAAGAATTTCTCTGCTAGAGTTGGGTCAATGTGTTTTTGTCCAAGTCACTTTCACCTTTTATACTATTTGAAAAGAAGTTTTTTGTTGTTTTTCCTGTATGATTATGATGAGGATTAACTAAGAGAATAGCCCAGCACATTAGTAAACTTTGATATTTTAAAGAGAATTGCCATGATTAATAATATAATAAAAATGTGAGGATACCTTTAGGATATGTTGGTGTGGGAATATTAATGTTTTATTATGTAGAAATTCCTTTGGAGACAGAATACAAAATACTAACTACTTGTAGAATAAATAAGTAAAATAATTTAATATGTTCATATAGATAGATGCAAAGCAGTTGATTCGTCTTCCAACTGTACTAGAGAAGAAAAATTGGAGAAAAAGTGAATACAGAAGTACTCTGTGACTGTTATGCAGGATGTGCTCAATGTTTGCCAACATAAAATACAGTGATGGGCCCAAATGATGGATCCATGGTTACTAGAACCGCCTCATGGATTTTATACCTGACTTTGCGGGACATTCTAGAGGCTTTATTCCTCGGCACTTGTGAAGATTGGAATTCATGATCCAAAATATTGCGGGCTTGGAAAATGCATACTGTTTGCAGCCACCATTACATGTCTCCTAAGACATGTAATGTCTTGGCCCCTCTGACTTGTCCCTTATCCCACTCCCTGTGGTTCAGTGCAAATAGAACAGACCCTCTGTCTTGAAACACAAATGTTTTCAGTTCTGTCAAAGCACCAGGCTCCCATGAAAACCCAGCCAACACAAAAGCCAACACAAAAGCCAGGGAGGAAGTACAGCCATTTGCATTTCTTATAGGCCTATTGTCTGATTCCTTTTTGTGTTCCAGGCATTAGAGTGGAACCAGTTTTAGGAAGATAAAAATCATTATAATTTTCCTCACACCCCCATATAAGCATAGTCCTATCCAATGGATGCTCCATCAACTAAGTCTAGGTCTACCATGGATGTGAAACAGCAGGAAGGTGAGGGCTAGGGTGATGGACAGGGAGTAGAGAGACAGGTGCTTTAGCATCTTGATTTTGATTCAAGTCTAAGCCTTGGGGAGATTCTCCCCATCCTGCCCATTTCTCCAGACTACTTACTTTTAATCTCATGCTGCCTTTCTTGCCTCCTCTCTCCACTCTACATCCCAAACACCCAGGCTCTGCCATCAGTTACTAAGTACATCCCAAGAAGGTGTGGGGCCCCTGGCAAAATATTTTCCAAGGGGCCCTTCTCTATATAAACAATTGGAGTCACCAATTCTGGTAGCCCAATATCACGTAATTACATGAAAAAATGTTGTCCTTTCCGCAGGAGCACCTTTGTCACCCTTTGCCACCCTCCTAGAATCTGGAACTGTTGATTGGGTCCAGTACAAACCCGTAGGCATAAGTTTGGGAACCTTGGGGAATCTGATTAAACCTACATGAAAAATGGCTGAGGGTAGAGGTTGGAAATGTACCCTGAAGGGGAGAATGGCGTCATAGGGCCCTGTTTGCCAGGATCTCAGGGTAGTGGTACTGGTTACAAGTCCTGTACCACAGAAGACATTTAGTCATTCGGGCTAATTCATATACTAATTCATCCAGATTTATTGGAGGAGTATAAACGTCTTCCCATCCTTTTTTTCCTTATTTCTCTTAGGCTTAACAGAATCTCACAGTTGAAGAAGATTCTGAGATCATTTATTTCAGGAAGTCTATAAAGATAAAAATTGCCTCACTTATTGAAATGATGGTGGAGCAATCTAAGTATTCTTTAGAAGTAAACAACAATGAAATCAACAATGAAATCACACCAAAACAACTTCCCAAATGCACTGTACCTTTTTTGCAGTAAATAAATATGGCAGGATTGAAAGTCTGCCTTCGTACTACTAAGATGCCATTATTTTTTCTTCAAAATGTGCTGTGGTAATTAATTAAATTAATTAAACCCCACTGCGTTTGACCAAACAAAAGACCCACCTGTAGTAGGGCCTGGCAGGAGCCTCAGGCAGGGTCACTGACCTGCTTACCTTGGAGAGAATGAGATAGATCCATATCATGCTATACATGATAAGAGCCTGATAAGGCAAGCTTATGGATGCCAGTCAACTTAGAAGTGTTGGTTTATGCAAAGGGAAGGGAACACCTCAAAGAAGATGGAGGCCAATGTTCTGGGACCCTGAGTAATTCTCTGCATTTGTATGAGTAGGGTAGATTCTGGATTCTTTATGGAGCAATTACTGGGCAACAACCACCCTCTGGAATGTAGGGATGTTCTTTCACTATCTGTAATGCTGTTTTTATGGAACAATTATATGACAACAAAAAAGGGAAAAAGGAAGAGAGTGTTTCGTGCAAAATGGGGATTGTTATGATAATACTACCTCATTAAGTGAGCAAATGAATTTTGTCAAGTTTGTACTATAAAGTAAGTGCTTCTCAGATTTTAATTTGCATATAAATTCTCTGGGATCTAAAACATATATAGATTCTGATTCAGTAGGTCTAGAGTGGGGCCTGGGACTCTGCATTTCTAATAAATGGTGGAGTATCTCCGTGATATGTAGGGCCCACACATTGAGTAGTGAAGCTATAAGGTACCACCACATGCTATTCTCAGCTCCCTCTTGTCACATATTTATAACTATCTGGGTCTGTGAAGTGGCCACTTGGTCAACAGAGCTTACTGAGTGTCCCTCATGTGGAGATCATTTTGGAGCCCACATTTCAAAAGACACCCTCTTAGGAGTAAGGTGCACTGAGGCTGGGCATCTGGACCCCTGAAGCTAACTGTTCACTGAGTGTTTATGATCTTACTACAAAACATGCATTCTCTTGAACAGTTCTTTGCCAAGAAATGGGAAGAGTTTGTCGAAACTCCTCCCCATCGCAAGCCTGCTGAAGGTGATTGAGATGTTATTTTTGTTACTGCTTTGAATATTAGGTGAACCAATCTAGGTTGCTAAATGCCTAGAGACCTGGGAAACTTCAAGGTTTAATGTTTTCCCTGCCCTCTCCAGTTCCGGTCACAATGGAAAATCCTGATTCTATGCTGCAGAGAAAGGGGCAGAAGGCAACACATGTTTTAATCCTCTTTGCTGGGTGCCAAGAAGACAAACTGCTGATGTGGAAGCAGAGGAAGGGATTGGGCAGGAAGAAACACCTGAGGGAGGAACAAGAAAGGAAGGAGGAGGAGGGGGAGGAAGGAGGAGGGGGGGAGGAAGGGGCTACTGGCAGGAGGAAGGAAAGAAAGGCAGAGGGGTTGCAGGCAAGATGGCCTGGGTGCCACAGGAAAGATTCTGAAGACACCTTCAAAAGGGATTAAAGAAAAAACTAAAGGACTAAAGGCTAAATGTTTTATTTATTTCTGAGAGAGAGAGACAGCGTGAGCAGGGGAGGCTCAGGGAGAGAGGGAGTCACAGAATCTAAAGCAGGCTCCAGGCTCTGAGCTGTCAGCACAGAGCCTGACATGGGGCTCGAACCCACAAACCGTGAGACCATGACTTGAGCCGAAGTCAGACGCTCAACCGACTGAGCCACCCAGGTGCCCCCAGAAATATATTTTTAAAAATGGGTTATTTCTGGGATGCCTGTGTGGCTCAGTTGGCTAAGCAACTGACTTCAGCTCAGGTCATGATCTCACAGTTCATGGGTTTGAGCCTGGCGTCAGACTCTGCTGACAGCTCAGAGCCTGGAGCCTGCTTCAGATTCTGTGTCGTCTTCTCTCTCTATCCCTCCCCCACTCATGGCTTGTCTCTTTCTCTCTGAAGAATAAATATTTTAAAATGATTTTAAACATGGGTTATTTCTTTCCTCAGACGAGTACTTTTGAGAAGGCCAATTCACTGTATTAGTGAGATTAAGATCTTCAAGTATATAAATGGGGCCATTTATCAGGGGATGTGGAAGGTCCCTGAGCCAGGGCCCCTCAGATGCAGGGTATGTAACTTGAGGACACAGTGAGCAAGCCCCGTGGTTCTGTGGGCACAGGGAGGCTTCTTCTACAGGGACACATATTCTGACTTAACAGTCACAGAAGGCAAAGAACAAGCAGCGTCCACGAGCAGGATCTGCCAACTCAGAAATGGAGGATTGGACCAAGAAACTGCTTTGGGGAAGGATCCCTGATGTGACCTGTTTTCTCTGACATCACCTGCAGTTATCTTATTCACATGTGCTGTGAAAGGAGGGCTGGGTTAGACACTGTGTGTGGGGTGGAGATGATGTAGAAGACAAGGTCCTCGACCCTGGGTATACGATCTCATGAGCCCATATCCGGTGTTATATATTTTTCTGTCCCTAGGCTCAGTTTTCAGTTCCCTATTGTTTTTATATCCCTCTAGTAAGGTACCATGGGTCAGAAAGATTTATTAGAGCTGGAAGAAACTTAAGCATTCAGAGGTAAAGAGATCAAATAGGAAATCCAGAGTAAAATCTAGAAGCTTCTTGATCTTGTTCCTTTTCTTTCTTTTCCCCTTCACATCCTGTCCTCCCATGCCAGCTGTCTCTCAGCCACCATTCTGATGCCCAATCGTTCCTTCTTTTCCTCACACAACTCCTTAGAATTTGAGTCGGAAACATCATAGAGTGTCAACGATTTTGGCCTTCCATTTTTTTTTTTTTTTTTTTTTTTTTTTTTTTCTGACAGAATATCATCCCCCAACTCTGTGCAAACATCCCCAGGGATGACTTCAGAGGGAGGCCTATTCTTTTGCCTGACTATTCACACCATCCAAAACAAGCATGTTTTTGAGGCAAACTCTGTCTGTCTTCCCCCTTTGAAATGATTAAAATGTCACCTTCTGGGTGCCTTAACCCCAAT